TCACTCCACTCCCTGACCAAGAGTCCCTCCCCAGCTCTCCTGTAGCCCCTTCAGATACTGGATGTGGGGTCGCCCCAAGCGATGCCCCGGAGACACACGTCACACACTTCCACCTCCCAGCCCTTTCCTCCCCTTTGGCAGCACAGCACCAGGATGAGGGATGCTTGGAAGCCCCAGGCTGGGTGGGTGAGGCAGTTCCTCCCCCCCATGGGTGTGAGGAGCCCAAACGGGCTGCTGATCCCCCCCCCAGCTCCCCAGCCCATGAGCATCCTCCAGCCCAGCCGCTCCCCAGGCAAACCCTGGCGTCTAGAAGACACTCTCATATTTGGCATGTCCTCCTCTGACTCTTTCCCAACCCATTGCATCTCAGGCCTCGTACACCTCCACCACGTGGCATTTCCACCAAAGATTTGCCCTTCTGGCCTTGCTGGCAAACCAAGCACTGGTTTGTACTGGTGGAGGCCGTTGCTGCCTGATGCTCAGCCCAGACTCCTGCTCCATCCTCCCGGCCCCGAGTAATTCATTCCCCCCCGCCCCCCTCCCCGGGGCTGGGGGTCACACAGCAGGGAGAGCCCTGCTGTGTATTGCATCCCGATTTGCCATGCATTTCCACCCCATTTGCTTCCCTTTCTTTTTCCCCGCGCTGGAAAGATGCTGGCTGCCCAGGGGTCCCAGCTGCTCCCAGATGGCAATAGAACAACAAACATCCTACCTACGCCTATTTATTTATGGCGCACACACAGTTTGCAGGAAAACTGCTGCCTCTTGAAATATGCCCGCTCTGGGGGTGGCACGTGCCCCTACCATTCCCCCACAAGCCACGGGGGCCCGGGCACGACGCACTCGTTGGCCACCCCATCCTCAAGCTGCACCGCTCCGCGCCCGGCTGCGGTGCCCAAATGATATGCAGATCTCTGTGCTTCAATTGGCTGATGCCTTGGGGAAAAACAACCACCATTTGCCCACAACAAACATGGCCACCATGGCCCAACCGCTCCCCGGGGCTGGCCCCAGCCTCATCCTTGGAAGTCAGGGCTGTCACCCCCACTCGGCACCCCCCCCCCCAGAAAACCCCGTCGCTATTAACCCTCACCCAGGAAAGCTCCGAGCCCCCAGTGCTGGTGGGAGGCACGGGGTGTCCCTGCCAATCCTCCTTCTTGGTGGGTCCAAGCACAAAGACAAGAGGCCAAACGCCATCCCCACACTCCTTGGCCGGGGGGCTCTTTGCTCTGCACCCCCCGGGGAGCCACCGTGTCCCTTGCTGCTCACACCAAGCCCAACAGGACACCCCAACCTCGTCCTGCAGCCCCGCTCCTCTCCCTGCTCCGAACCTTCTGACCCACCAGAAGCACCACTGGTTCCACCAGGAAGGTCTGGATTTGGGGGACCACCTTTCTCAGAGACCAAACGTCCACCCCGGTGGGACAGCCCCCCCATGACCCACATAACGCGGGATGTGCGGCATTCCTGGGATGTTGGGCATACTCGGGAAGAGCTACAAAATTATGCTCCACCAGATCAGCTCAAGAGTTGAGTCTCGGTTTTAAGATGCCAAAGGTCTTCTCCTCAGCCACTGCTGAGCTTTTTGGCTCTGCTATCACTCAGCTTGGCCGGAGCTGGGGAATGTGGCAGCCAAGCTATTTACTGCCTGTTCCCGAGTTTCCCCGGGAAGGTGACGTCTGTCAGGGATGGAGAACACCAGATTCACCCCAAAAGTGCTCACAGGTGGAGGAGCTGCAGTTTGGTCTGACCGGGGAGCTCTGCCCCAGCCAGCCCCTGCCGTGGCTCCGGCCAGCGATGCCCAGGGAAGCCCCATCGCTGGGATGGTCCCCCCCGTCCCACGCAGCAGCGAGGGGACACCCCACCGTGCCAGACCCTGTAACTCCTCCGGGTGTTCCCTTCACAGCCCCAGCCCTCCTTGCCCTCAGTCTGCCAGGCAGATGCCATCCCTGCCCGTCCCAGGGGGGCTGGAGGCAGAGCAGCATAAAAGGCGCTCACGGACAATTTCTTTTCTTCTCATCACTAAAACAACCTAAAAAGCCAAAGAGAAACTGGACAACATGGGGACAACACCCCCAGCACAAGCAGCCACGCTTCCAGCAGGATCATTTTGCCACTGCTGAGCCCCAGGGCAAACGACCTGAACCACAGCGTAAGATTTTTAACATATAAACAAACGTAGCTTTTTTTTATTCGCTTCCTGTTTTTGTAAATCTTCAAAGCCGCAAGTTCGGGCTCTTTTTATAATGCTCAGAGTGATTTGTTTTCTTTCTTTTTCTTTTCTGAGAAAAAGTGAGATTTTTTTTTTTTAATTTTTTTTTTTTTCATTTAACCACACGGCTCCGTTAAAGACACCCCGT